CTTCAGAAAAGTATATGTATTATTGACATAAAATGTAATGTCTCCTTGCTTATTCCCCAGCTACCTTTAGTGTACAAGCTAGATCAATACTCTAGTAATGTGATTTATCCAAGCATTAGCTCATCTCAGAACTGAAACACTTTGAAGGTTTGGAAACATTTTTCTTAATGTCCTCTTAACCAACCAGTCAGCCCACACTGTGTACTTTACCTACAAGCTCTGTGGGAAGAAGTGATGAATTATGTATAGCAGAATAGTACAATACCTTATCAGGTCTTCTCACTCATTAGATGAGTAAAAAGAGGTGATTTTGCCTGTTCCAGACCATTACAGTACAGGGTATACTGACTGAGAAAATGAATGGTGAAGTTAGGAGATGCAGACAAAAGGACGTGGGATGAAATTACAGAAAGTTAGTAGAGGAGGAAGGATCAGGTTGTCTATGGGAATCAGAATGGCCATGAAAAGGGGAGAATATCAGGTGACTAGCCTAGCTCTTTTAGCAGCCAGAAATAATAGTGCATCACATGTAGGAAGACCCTGAACTTGTAAAACCAGTTGTGATTTGTAAGGGAGAGTGCTTGGATGAAATGGAAGACTTCAGGGAGATCAGTGAGCATCAGCACTTTAGTGGCATTCATGGCATATAAGGTCTGATCCTTGAAGGTGCAAATACTTAGTGTCATCTATGTCTTGGTAACATTTTCAGTTTTACTGTTATTTTTACCACCATACGTCTCCCAAGTATGATGTTAATACAGGCAATTCTGTCAACAATACCCCTTTCCAAAGAATAGCTTATTATTATCCATGGTGATTATTATCCATGACACAGAAAACAGTCAGGAGTATGGATGAACCATTCATACCACATAAAATGAACTAAGCAATGTATTTTTGCTTTTGAAAATGGTATATTGCAAACGGGAGAGTGCTAGACACAACATTTTAAAAATATTTATTTTAGAATAATGGTTTTATTATTAAATAAGATAAAAATAATATGGGGATATTTATGTCAATCATATTTAACAGTCTGGTTCCATAGCATTTTATGCAGCTAGCCCCACTCAGTTTTCTGGTACACAATCTCTTAAAAGTATGTCGGTTAATATACAGGTGTAAGATTTTTTAATAACAGGTATTTCCTCAAAGTTAGAAGTGCAGATACTTTATTTGACTTTCAGAAATGTAGGCCTTACATTTTTCTGAGTATGTTCTTCATTCATTTTAATTCTTTGAATAATGAGTGCAAGTGTATGATGCTGGCCTGAGGCCTGGGGACTGTTTTCTTCTTTAAGAACTGCAGGATAGGTAAAAGCACACAAAATGCAGTCTGTAAAGTGGCATGAACACAGTCCTATCTGTTTCCTTCAAACTAACTTGTTTGGGAGATGTGATTGGGATCACACACTTCCTTATTCATTCCAGTCTGTAAAGGCAGCTACTACTTATGTTAAGGGCCTGAGATGTTGATAGACAGCTGCATTTACCAGCCTATTTGATATTAAATTCTGCTGACAACCCGTCCCTCATCCCATGGTCACGACAGTAGGATGCTGAGCGTTTCTTCTACTTTGTCATTATTTAGTTCTATCTGTTTCATAAACATTAATGTGGGATCAAATCTTACCCATTTTATTTCGTTTACATTTAACTGAGTGGGATTGCTTGCATAACTAAAGGCACATGGATGTGATTCCTGATAAAAAATAAATTATATATCATTAATATTGTGCCCAGAGAAGATCCACCTGCCCAGACCAAAGCCCTAAATGTTAAATATCCTTTAGTATAAAAAACATAATAAACATCAGACAGGTTGAGTTCAAGAGGAACTAGCTGGAATCAGGTTGTTTTAAGACTGTCACAAACTTCTGCTTATAAAACATCTGCAGCATGCACAACATCATTTCAGCTACCCGTTTCATGAACACAAGTGGTCACTCAGTCTAGATTGTGTGGTAATTTTGTAACATGAGTGCTGAAGATTCAATATCTGTTGGTAATCTAAAACTGAAGATTTCATGTTGCTTTTGTATGAAGTGATGCAGGTTTGTGCTTAAGGCTGTCCCTTGCAGAGTAGGACTTAGTCTAACGCAGAAGGGTGAACTTAAGGTTTCACTTAGCCAGTAGGAAATGTCGGGCATGAACATGGGTTTTAAGCTGTTCCTTCACATCCTATCACCAGATACCTGAGAGAGGGAGAACAGCACTTTCCATTCCTTAAACAAGAAGTTTTGGATAGCAATAAAGTCTCTTCCTCTCTAAGCTGAACAAACCAAGTGTCTTCAGCCTCTCCTCATCAATAATGTCCTATAGTCTTCTCAAAATTTTGTTGCCCTCCTTTGGACACATTCCAATATTTTGATATGGTTGGCCCTTTCATCCACCTGGGCACATTGTTGACTCATATTGCGCATATCATTAACCTAAACCACTGTTTCCCTTCCCACAGGGCTGCGCTCCAGCCTCTTGCTCCCAGTCTATATGTAAAAGGGTATTCGAGTCATAGCATCATAGAATCATGTAGGTCAGAAAAGACCTCTGAGATCATTGAGTCCAACCATTAACTTAGCACCACCATGATTTCTGTTAAACCATGTCCCCAAGTGGCATATCCACATGTTTTTTTAACACTTCCAGGGATGATGATTCCACCAGTTCCTTGGGCAACTTGTTACAATGACTGACCACTCTTTCAGTGAAGAATATTGTTAATGAAACATGACTTTCCCTTCATGAACACATCCTGCCTTTGACTGTAGGTGCTAACACCCTTAGGTAGCCACTGAGCAGGAATTTTGTGTCTTTTTCATGTAAAAAACCTTGGACTTATGTGCTCAAAGGGACATATGTCTGAGAAGCTTGTGCATGAAATTAAGCTTTTTAAGTTGACGCTTTTCTTAGCTTCACTGCCATCCTTCCCACCCTTTCAGGACTCTGTATGTGATTCTCCAGTAAGTGACTGCAAACAATTTTACAAGTGTAAATAAATTTTGGTCTCAAAATGCTGCAGAGTCTAGCATGGAAATATCAGCAGGTAAAGGTCCACAGGAGACCAACACCTTTGCAGTGAAATGTAGTTCTTGCTGACTGTGCTCTAACCACTAGACTGTGCTTCTACACACAGCACTTTTGTATGTGGATTTAAATTACAGAGCTAGGGTTTACTGCTGCTTGTGAAGTGCTGATGACAAAGAACAGAACAGTTTGCCTCTTAAGAAGCTGCTGGACTTTAAAAGAGCAATCTTAAAAGGATTTAATTTGAAGATTTTTTCTGATTATGTATTATTTTCTGAGATTTACTTTCATGTCCTTACTTTTGTGCTATTAAGACATTTATATGAAGGCTGTATCTTGTTTTCTTAAATGATCTTCCAATCCTGTTATTTATTCTCCTCATGGAATCATACTTCTCTATATTGTCACAGCACAATAATTTCTGTGGCAACCAGCTGTGATGTTGCATGCAGAAGCTTATGGTTTCAAGCAGTTTTGCTTTTAAATATAAAGTTCTGTCTTGTAAACAAATATCCTTTGTCCATCTTAATGCTGCAATTAATTTGGGACAGAAAAATACATGCTTTAGGAACAATACTATATATAGCCAGAATACTTATCAAAGGTTCCTGTGAGATAGTGGCAAGTTTTCAATGTTCTTTTAACATAGTTTGCTGAGGAGCATTTTGTTTCTAATTCTGGCCTGCAAATACCTTCTGTGCCAAAAACATGAAAAGACATTATTTTAGAAGTTGATTTACAACATGAAAGTTCTGTGTCTTCATGAAGTCTCAGGAGAGACTTGGAGGTACATTTTCTGTCTTCTTGTCTCTCCTGTAATAAGAACAAGTATTAAATTTCCTTAGAGCTTGTGGAGCTTTTAACCCCCTGGTACTTGGACCCTCTCTGGAGAAAGAGGTGGGAGAGATGTTGCTTCAGTTCCTTGTCAGACTGTGTCTGCTCCTTGTTAAGCAATAAGAGCAAAACCAGGAATCAAAAAATAGCAAAACTATAGGCTTTGTGCTTGATTTTCTTTACTGCTGCTGGCTTAGTGCCCAGTTATATCAGAAAAAAATCACTTTCTTCAGAAATCCAGGATATTCATTAAAACTGCATTATAGACGTCAGATGGAGGAGGTGCATTCTGCCAAAGATACCTTCTCAGACAGCAGGTGCTTGAAGGGCCAAGTAAGATTTGACGATGGCCTCTGACCACACAGGACCACAAGATGAGGCCCTCAGAGTCAGGTCTTTCAGACAAGAAAGTGTAGGCTTCAGCACAGTGGTCAACCTATTCATGTCCTCAGAAAAGAGAGAGCTTTTAAAATTAAAATTGCAAGGACAGTCATCTAGCAGGCTCAGTAAATTTCAACACCCTGCTCTTTCATAGTTACTTAAGCATCCTCATAAAACTCAGGCAAGTGACACAGACTTACAAAACACATGACAAAGATAACAGAATGAAGAGCAGAGGAAGAAGCCTAAAACAATGCGGAATGTACTACTCTGTTATTTGCAGAGCTTCTGTCTCTTCTCCTTTTAAAGGTTTTTCTATGTGAGTGGTCTGTTGTAGTAAAAAATAAGATTATATTAGCTGAGGAGAGGTCAGAAAGAGGGAGGGGAGGAATGAGCAGTATGTCAGAGGAGGAGAGCTAATAGCTCTAATCTGCTGAAGTCAGTGTGAATTGCCCAGGGCCAGGATTTCAAACCAATTGCACTTGCCCTGCAAGCAAATTCCTTTTTTTTTTTTGGAGTCTTCAGCTCCAGATCCAAAAGCTCTACTGAAATCTCAAGGCTGCTTATGCAAGATGTAGCTGGCAGGTACAGTATGTCTGCAAATTTGGGCAAGCTGATTAACAAAATTACCTTGCAAAACACAAACCAACCTCCCAGGGCATGCCTTTGAATAAAGTAATTAATGATAAGTAGCTTCCCCCACCTCACTCTCTCCTCCTCTCTCCTTAGCCTGTCTAATCACTGTATGCTGTTTATTACAGGAGTGATTCGCGAGAGTTACCTGAAGGGTCATGATCAGCTGGTGCCAGTCACCCTGTTGGCTATTGCTGTTATTCTTGCTTTTGTCATGGGGGCCGTCTTTTCGGGGATCGTAGTATACTGCATCTGTGACCATCGCCGCAGAGACATGGCTATCGTGCAGAGGAAGGAGAAGGAGCTGACCCAGACCCCCCCCCGCCGCGGCTCCATGAGCAGTGTTACCAAGCTCAGTGGCCTCTTTGGGGATGCTCAGTCCAAGGAGCCAAAGCCTGAAGCAATCCTCACGCCTCTGATGCACAATGGCAAGCTGGCTACCCCGGGCAGCACTGCCAAGATGCTAATCAAAGCTGACCAGCACCATCTGGACCTGGCTGCCCTGCCAACCCCTGAGTCCACCCCAACCCTGCAACAAAAGAGAAAGCCCAGCCGAGGCAGTAGGGAATGGGAGAGGAACCAGAACCTCATCAATGCCTGCACAAAAGAAATCCCCCCAATGGCGTCACCAGTGATCCCAACTGACCTGCCACTCAGAGCTTCTCCCAGCCACATCCCCAACGTTGTGGTCCTGCCCATAGCCCAGCAAGGTTACCAGCATGAGTATGTTGACCAGCCAAAAATGAGCGATGGGACTCAGATGTCTGTGGAGGACCAGAATGCCACCCTTGAGTACAAAACTATTAAGGACCACCTCAGTAGCAAAAGCCCCAGCCACGGGGTTAACCTGGTGGAAAATCTCGACAGCATGCCACCAAAAGTACCCCAGCGGGAAGCTTCCCTTGGGCCCACAGGTGCCTCGCTGTCACAGACCGGCCTGAGCAAGCGGCTGGAGATACACTCTTCTGCTTACAATGTGGACTACAAGAGAAGCTACCCTACAAACTCGCTCACAAGAAGTCATCAGGCATCGACCCTCAAAAGAAACAACACTAACTCCTCCAACTCATCCCATCTCTCCCGCAATCAGAGCTTCGGCCGGGGTGACAACCCACCACCGGCCCCACAGCGAGTGGACTCCATACAAGTCCACGCTGCTCAGGCACAGGCTGTGACTGTATCTCGGCAGCCGAGTCTCACCGCCTACAACTCACTGACGAGGTCAGGTTTGAAACGCACGCCCTCGCTAAAGCCAGATGTACCTCCCAAACCTTCCTTTGCTCCACTTTCCACATCCATGAAGCCCAACGAC